CTCACCTCTGAAAAGGCAAGTGGAATGGAGGGAGGGGTGCGTCGGGGTTTTTCTTTTTTCTTTTCTTTTTTGGTACCAGGGATTGAACCCAGGGGTGCTTAACCACTGAGCCATGTCCAGTCCCTAACCCTTTTTCAAATTTCATTTACAGACAGGGTCTCACTGAGTTGCTTTAGGGCCCCCACTATGTTGCTGAGGCTGGCTTTGAACTCCTGATCCTCCTGCCTCAGCCTCCAGAATAGCTGGGATTATAGATGTGCACGACCACACCCAGCAAGGGGTGTGTCTTTAAGTATCTGGCAAGTAGCAGACACCATGGGCCTCATGGAGTAGAGCCTTGGGGACATGTGTTTTTATTGGGAATTAGAGTTACCTGACGAAATGGGCACTTGGAAGGAGCCTTGAAGGATGATATAACAATAATGATGTCATTCTAATTATAATACGATAGTCACTATCATTCCCGTTTTTGTTTTAAGTAATATTTACTGCATGTTTACCATGTGCTAACACTTTACAGAGCTCACCCCACTCACCTCACACTCATTTGACAGGTATGGAAATGGGACTTAGAAAAGTTAAGAAAACTAGATAGCATCAGAATCTGGATCAGAACCCAAGCTTGTGCCTCCACCAAGGCTGCCACCCTGCTCCACAGGCAGGAGTGAGGGCACGTTCCAGCAGGGCTTCAGATGAGTACCCAGAAAAGGCACCTGGAGAGGTGGCTGTAGCCAGGTTACAGAAGCCTGAGTGCAGTGTCAGCACGTGTCCTAATTAACTGCAGGGGAGCGCCCCTGGGAGGTTGGACACAACTGGACCTGTGCTGCAGGACTGGCAGATAAAATGGACTGGATTCGGCTGAGAGGGTGGAAGAGGCCATTTCAAGAGCCCGGTGAGAGACTGCAGCTGCAGAGGTGAGAAGGTGCATGACCTGCCTACTGCACCTGCCTCTCAGGTGTGGACGATGATGTATGTGTGAGGAAGGGACGAGCCCACAAGTGTGAGTGCAGAGTGAGTGAGCATGAGGGCCCCTCCTGGGGAGGAAGAGGGCTGTGGGGGCCCTTCTGGGCAGGCGGCGGGTGGAGGGAGGTAAGGGGATCCAACCCGAGCAGGAGGACTCTGGTGAATGAGAAGCCATCATTCCACATCTTTATTGGGTCCTGAGATGCCCAGGGGCCTGGCACATCAATGAAGTCAATGAACATTTGTTGAGTGAGTGAATTGGAGACCTTGGCCTCTGGTCTCTCAACCCAGGCCTGGCTTTGCCCTTTAGCAGTGTAGAGGTCACTGTCACTCCACCTAGACTCCCTGCCCCCCCTAATCTGTGGTTCTCTCCAGCAGGTATTCTAGGTTTGGGCGGCAGCATTCCTACAGCCCCAGCCTGATTCTCGGGGGGCCCTAGCCTCATTCCTGGGCCTCCTTCTCCCCCGCACATTTTAACAAAAGTGTTTCTGTGTGGCCTCCAAGCTGGCTGCATATTTCCCAGGTCAGAGACTCCCCCACCTCCATTTCAGAGCACAGCAGATGCTGCCAAATGAGTTCCATGGCTTGTCTCAGCCCGAGACATCCTGCTTCTCATCAGGGACAGAGAGCCAGCATCGTGTCCCTGACCAGGACCTCCTGTAGCAAACTCTCCAGCCCACCAAAATCTCATCCTACAGAGGACTTCACAGACCTACAAACTGATGGCCCTCAGTCTGGTGCAGACCTACCAAATGATGGCCCTGGGTCTGGTCCTGTCCAGAGGACAGCCTCTAAAGACTCTCCCCAATTCCATGTGCATCCTGGCAGAACAGACCAGGCAGACCCGGGTCCAGGAGAGGCCAGCTCCCACCACCCAAGAGAGGAAAAACTGGTTTTAGCTCCTGGATTGCCTGCCCACTGGATGAAAAAGGATCTATTTCCAGAGTAGCCAGAGCCCAACCCCCTTTCAGGCACAACCTTGTATTGCAAAGTAATGAGTACAATTTAGTGAGAAAAGAGATCACTTTCAAGATTGTAAAATCCACATAAATTTAGAGGAAGGCTGGCTTGAAAATCATGACTCTAAACCCCCTGTTGGCAGATGTGGAAACAGAGGTCTAAAATCTTGGAAGCATTCAGTTGCTTGAGAGCAGTCTAAATCATTTTTTAGATTTCACCAGAAGCCCAGTTTGCATATGAGGACATTTGTGGGATAAATGCATTGGCCCCTGGGAAGCCCAGTTACTATGGAGCAGGGCTAGAACCAGGCCTTCCAGATGGAGGCTCTCTACCTGCAGGGTGCTGTGCTTTCCTGGAGGTTTGCTTCCTCCAGGGCACTGCTGCAGAAGCCCACCCGTGATCTTTCAGACAGTGAGTCATGAGGACTGGCCTAGGGGCTACTTAGCACTGCCTGCCATGCAGATGGCAGCCACTAAATCCAATGGGAAGTCATGGGGATCTAGGTGGGCCGACTCTCCTAAAGCTGTGGGGAAATCCCAGGGACTAACAAACAGCTCCTTCTTCCCTCTCTTTGCCTCACCCTCCAGCTTCACCTTCCAAGAAAACATACTGGAACCGGCTTCTCTATTGTCCCCTGCCTACTAGAGGACCCTCACTTCTGAAGGATCATTCCAATTTCCAAATGATTGATGGTAGCTGAGAAAAGAAGGCAAGAGATTCAAGTCAGGTGGTGTGGGATCCAAAATCTTGGCTGAGAAGTCAGAAAGCCGTAGGTCCTAGTGGCCATGTGATCTCTGAGCCTCAGTTTCCCTAACTATGCCCTGAGTGGATGCTCTCTCAAGGCTCCTTCTGGCTCTGAGAAATCAGATTCTGAGGCCATAAACTGTGTCTCTCTCCTTGCCATGTCCCCAGCAGTTAACCCATAGTAGACACTTAAAATAATCCATCAAATGATTGAATGAAATGAGTTCCCCATCAGTCAAGGAAGGAAATCCTTCCTTTAGGCATCTACCATCTGATGACCATAGAAGTGTAAGTGCTGAAAGAGCCCTGGCCGTCTAGGAGTCTTTGCAAATCCACCTCCTCTTCTAGATGCACAGATGGGGCTGAAGGAGCCAAGCAGGAAGCAGGAAAATGTTACTGGGGAGGGAGCAGGGAGTGGCCTGCACACTAGCAAGAGCCAGCAAGGACCCTCACTTCCACTCTCTAGGCTCCTCTCCCTCCACCGTCTGACTTCCCTCTCTTCCTGGCCTCTTCTTCCTTCTCATCCCCTCCTGCCCTCCAGCATCATAACAGCCTTCCCCTCCCTCACAGAGGCTCCTCCAGCCAGGGAGACGCCTGAGCCTCAGCTTTCTCAGGATCAGTGAAGGGAGAACACAACATGGAGTGATTTAAATTCTGGTCTGTGCTCAGCCTCTAGAGTCTGGCACCTAGAAGAGGGGCCCCTCTTCTGAAGGAACCTAGAAGTGCCTTTCTTCCACCTTCTTCTGTAGAGTCCCAGGGAGATGTTAGGGTTTCTCTTCTGGGGTGTCACATCTTCCCCCCCCAAACCACCCTGTCTTCTCTTCCTTACCTCAGCCCAGCCTGGGACCTATTTTAAAGAATGAGTGAATGTGTGTGTGCATGTGTGTATGTGTGCTAGGGAAGCAATGGTATGTGTTACTGTTGGGATGTGTGTGTTAACACAAGTGGGAAGGTAGGGGGGAGTAAGTAGTGTGCATGGAGCATATCTGGTGTGTATGTGGTGCACACATAGTATGATACAGGTGCATGTGGCCTGAGTATGAGAATGTGAATGGCATGTGTGTAGTGTGTGTGAGTGGTGATAGTATGTGTGTAGTGTGGTGTGTATGTACATGTGTAAAGATGCTTGCAATGGGTATTGAGTGTGAGGGGAGTAAGGTGGGTAAGGGGGCATGCCAGTTTGGAGTGGGAGCCATATAACCAGGAGACCCTCTCTACAGAAGCCAAGGATATCTAGTATCTAGGCAACGGTGAGGGGGGAGGGGAGGCAATGTGGAGGTGAGGAATGGGCAGGAAAAGGAGGGAGGCTGAGAATTGGAGTTTCCATGGCAACTACCAGGCAGGTCACGTGCAAAAGGCCAAGTTGCAAAACAGACATACACATCCACACATACACAATATGAGGGCAGCTGGCCCCTCGACTGGGGGTTCTTTCATAGAGGGCCTGGGATGCCCACTGATCCATCTGCAAACCTGGAAATCCTGGCCTAGCCAGGGCACAAAGCCAAGGAAACAAAGGAAGTGGAGAGAGAGGCCACATTGGTGCCAACAAGCTTCCAGCACCCACATCCCCCCAGGTCTTGAGGTTGGCGGGCACCTGGACAGGCCCGGTTCCAATCAGGCTGCTCTGCCACTTGTAAGAGCCTGAGCAGGCAGGAAGACCCAGGCTGCCCGTCCAACTCTACATGAAAGCCCAGGGCGACACAAAGAGGGCGGCTCTGCCAGGGCCAGCCTTGCTGGGGAAAGGTGGGGATGGGGGTCTGGGCCCCCTGGAAAAGAAAACAGAATTGGGTAGAACAGAATAAGAAAAAAAAAAGTGATGCAACCATTCTCATGAATTCCCGCGCCCTGGAACCCCATACACCTTCTTCTCTACCACCGCAATCTCCCAGCCCACATCCCACCCCTGGGCACCAAACCAGCAAGTTCCATTTTGTATCACTGAGTGTCCACACTCACATCCTGTCACACTCCCCGTCCTCATCCCCATGCTCCACGCAAGGGTCCAGGGCTTCCAGTAACAAAGGAAAAGTCCCCCTGAATAGAGGGTGGGAGCAGTTCTGGCCCCCAGCACTGGGCAGCCACGTCCCAGCCTCCAGCATCGCCCCACCGCCGCAGCCTGCCTCCTCCCGGGGGCCCTGCGTCTTTCGACGCCCACCTCCTTGTTTACATCCCCGAAGCCCTTTCGGCTGCCCAGGCGGGGACGCGGGGGGGACGCACACACCCACGGAAACAAACAAGACCCCGCACCCGCGGCGCTCGGGCTCCGTCCCACCCGCGCCTCTTCCCCCTGGCAAGCAGGAGCCGACTTCGCCCACTCCCCAGCCGCTCACCTGCACAGCCGCTCCCCTCCAGCAGATCCCGGGAGGACGTGCGGAGTCCCGAGGAGCTGGGAGTGGCGGCTGGGGGCAGGGCGGTGGGCGCGGCCTGCGCTGCTTTCCCGCCTCCCGGCGCCGGAGAGTTGGGGCGGGCGGCGGGGCGCGGCGGGCGCGGGTGTGATGGGCGGGGGCTCGCTCGGCCGGGCTCCTGGGGGCCGCAGTCCGGTGGCTTCTGGGTAGCGTCCACGCGCCGACCCCTCTCCCCCAGGCCGGGGGAGATTTCTTCCCCAGGGCCGTAAAGCTCGGAGAAGCAACAGGAGCGCCGCCGAGGAGGCGCGCCAAGGCCACGGCGGATTTGCCGTCAGCTGTTGCATTCCGGTTTTCCTCTGGTGAATGTGGGAAGGGAGCCAGACAAACACAATGACAGAGTTGGTGTGTCTCTGAAATAGTAAACTCAGGGGGACAGAGACATAAGAGAAAATAGCCCAGCATCAGACACAGCAACCCACGTTAATTGAGTGCTTTGGCAATTAAGGGGAACAGGCGCCAACGGCATGAATGACTGCCGCGTAGGCACACAAACCGGCGTGGCTGATAGTCATTTTCAGGTAGGGCCCTGGGAGCGGGGTCCTCACCTCATCCAGAGATTTGCTTCCCAGAACCCTCTTTTTCAAGTTCCCCCAATCCTGACTCTGCCAGGAGGTGATACAAATTACCCCTCCCAAACCCATTCCCAAGACCATCTTTGAATATGAAGATTTGCTTCCTAGCTCTGGAGCCCTACTTGGAACATGACCTTGAGCATGCTCTGCACTAACCTCTGGAGTCTCCGTTTCCTCACATGGGAAAACAGCCATAAGAATACTGAACCCCTGGGGAGTGGGTTAACTTGTACTTCCCATAACCCTGACCCGGCTGTTCCTGCCTTGTCCTCTATACACTGAGGACTTTGTTACAATTGTCCTTTTCCCTTGCTTTAGGCAGGAAAGATGCAACTGCATCACTTTCTAGGCCCACGGCCACGAACCGGGAGATCCATTCTTTCATATACCTTTAAATTCTGCCTTTTGCAAACCTCTCTATTGTTTTTTGGAGCAGCTGCTGGCCAGCCCACATCAAGCCCAGGCTTCGTGAACCTGTTGGGAAAGGAAAGGCCAATGGATTAGAACTCCAGAGCTGAGCCACCTTTTGGTTCAGCACTTTTCTTACCAGAGAATTCCAAAGTGTTCAGCCAAGTTCCTTCCCAGGTCCCCCTGCCTGACACTGCGGACAGACTAGACTACAGAGGGACAGCAAGAGTTAAAATCTTCAGGAGGAATGGAGATGGCTAGACTCTCAAAGAGTGTTTCCATACAGATGTTCCAGCCAGGTGTACTGCTGGGAGAACATGGGATACTACCGTTAGAAACAACATGCAGACTTATCCTTGATGGCAGGGGAGAGGGAGTCCTGTCTTCTTCTAGGGAAAAGAAACACATCTATCCTACCCTCACCTCCGTGAAGGACATGGGCATGGGTTAAAAGAGGTCCCCAGCTGCTCTATTCTTTCAACTCATTTATGGATGGGAGGCTCAATCCTCACTGAGCCCTGGGTCAAACTATGGGGATGACACTGGGAAAGAAAAGGAAGGGAAGGGAGAGGAAGGGGAGGGGAAGGGAGGGAAGATCCCTCGTAGCAAGGGCAAGATAGATGTTTACCAAATGGTTCTATGAATAAGTGGGCAATTAGTACATGGATTGGGCCCTGAAATTTGGAGCTTTTGAGAAGCAGGCTGAAGGACAGGAGGCGTTAAAGGTGAAAGAATCAGGTTAAAGGTGAAAGGATCAGGAATTGGAGTACCAGATAGGGTTGGGAAATGATTCCCATAGTAGAATAAAAGCAACATTTGCAAAGGCCCTGAGGCAGGAGGAATATACTGTGACCAGACCCTTCAAAGTAGTCCTTGAGCAAAGGAAACAGGCTGGGGTAGGAAGCAGATGCCAGGCTGTGCAGTTCCTGGAGGTGCCAGCTTTTAACACTGGGACAATGGGAAGCCACTGAGGACATCAAGAAAATTATTAGGAGAAAGAATTGGGAAGAGACTTTCTCAAGATGCTCCTGGGAGACCCTGCAGTGAGAGTTCAGGAGACCATGGTAAGAACGCTGCTAACATGAACCTGAGAAGTGGGCTTGATCCTAACTGAGGAACCCTACTTCTCTAGACGCCCAAGGAGCAGCGAGAGAGCTGCAGTAAAGCTGCACAGCCATGATGGAAACTGTGTGAGAAGGAACAGAAACCATTCCTGAACACTCTGCGCCCTCCCAACTGCAGAATGGGAGCCATGGGAAAGACAGCATGGGCTGGCGAGGACAGCACAGCTGCGGAATGGATGCGGGACTGCCCATGCTTGAAAGCTTGTGCTGAGCTCCAGGACTTGTGGCCCAGCAGCTAACCCTCATCTGGAGAGCACTTGCCCTGGTTCCTTGTACTGTGGCAGAAATAACCCCTCCGCAGTCAGTGCCCAGGTCACGTAGCCTTGGAAAGGGAGCGGAGGGCTCACAGGAGACACTCAAGAGGAGCCATCAGGAGTCTCACCCTTGCTAGCAGGGTAAACACAGGGAGCTATCAGGGCGCGGTTTCATCCTGGGGTGAAAGTTGCATCACGGAAGTGGATTCTGTCCACCATCTGCTGCTTTTGGCCATTCACAGTGCCATGATTGCTGAGGCTGGGAATGCGTAGTGGCCCCCCAGGCCAGGCAGCTCAGTGCTGAGATGTCACCCCCTACAACAGAGCTGTTTTCTGTTCCTTGGCTAGAAGAGCTCTGCTCACTCCACACCACTCCTGAATCCCAGAGCCCTTCCTCCCTCCTGGCCTTTCTTTCTCAAACTCCTCCAGCTTCTCCCTCAAGCAGCTGCGTAGGGCCCTTTGTCCCTTTACGCAGTTTCTGGGCAATGTGATCCACAGGCTTGATGATCTCCCAGCATCCAGCCGGGTCCTTTCACCCCATGCAGGATCTATAATCCTGTGTGTGCCAGGCAGCTTTCCATCACTGGAACACATACCTTGAGACACATGAAATTATAAACAGAAAAAGGTTATTTGGGCTCAAGGTTTTGGAGGTTTCAGTCCATGGTCTGAAGCCCATTGCTTTGGGCCTTGCAGCACATAATGGGGAGAATGAGGTGGAGGAAAGCTGCCTGCCTCGTGGCAACCAAGAATCAAAAGAGAGGAAGAGGGAGGTCTAGGTTCCTACTGTCCCCTTTGAGGGCACGCCCCCAGTGACCTAAGTACTTCCCACAAGGACCCATCTCTCAAAGCTTCTACCAGCTCCCAACAGTGCCATAGGCTGGACTGGGGACACCTTGGCCTTTGAGAGACATACCAGACCAAATCAAAGCACCATGCCTGTGGGTGCTCCCCTCCCGGGTCTTCCTTGACTTCATAAATAGCTCTGCCCCAATCCTGTTCCTCCTCTAGAAAAATGCACGCCATCTCCATGCCTCTGCCCCGTGCTTTCTCTTGGCTGCTTGCTCCTCCTTCTCCGCTGTTCCTATTGCAGGTCAGACGTCCATGCCACCGGCTTCCTGCCGAGGGGCTCTGCTTCAAGTCCCACCTCCGCCTCTGTCAACTCCTATTTGGTCATTCTGCTCCGCACAGTGCAAACATGATTCAAACCGTCTGGTTCCTATTTCTTGCAAGTTTAAAGTGCAAATTCTGAATATGACATCAGTCTTTAAAACGCAACATGCACCTGCCTTTCCTGCTTCACTTGCCAACCCTATCTGTGCCCTACTTCCCCCTCCGTCACCCTGTGACCCCAGTCCTTGTAATTGCTGTGCCCTGCACAAGAGGACCGCACATCATTATCCAAACGCCCGGCTTGCCTTCCCGCCTCGAACCTTTGCTCATATTGTTTTCTCTGCTTGAAACATCCTCTTCCTTCGTCTCTGCTTGAAAAATGCTTCCTAACCTACAGAGGTGAATTCAAATTTTACCGTGTTGACATTAAAGCCACCTTGTCCCTGCTCTCATTAACAGCACTGCATTTCTATAACTATGATAGCACATATCACGACCTGAACTTTCCCATGCTGGATGGTGTTTGCAGCTCTAACAGAACTGGAACCTCTTGATCAATCCTGGCATCTTACTCCATTATAAGCCCAGGGTCTCCCAGGGTGATCCTCGCACAGCTTGGCGAATTTAAGTGAATCGTGGCTCTTGACCTAAAAGTCCCTGCATAATCAGGTTTCTGCCAACCTCTTCACATTCATTTTAGATAACTTCTTCCTGGCTTTCTCTCCAGCCAGAAACCTCCCAGCTTAACCATTGATCATAACCGAAGGCTGTCAGGGGGACTTCAGAACTGGCTCCCTGAGCACCGTACCAAGGGCATAGGCCATGCCTGTGAGACGTGCTAGCTTTGCGTTCTCTTCCCAGGATGAAGGGGTGTAGCGGTGGGTGTTACTGAGGCCACAGGCAGAGGAGGGATAGGTAGTAAGTCTCACAGGCTCTGATCATTTCCAAATGAAGGCCTTCTCCTGGGTGGTGAGTCCTGGAGATCTCCCAGGCCAGAAGCCCGCAGAGGAGAACAGGCAACTCTGACTTGGACGGGACCTCTCTGTGAGTAGAGCTGCAGGAACTGGAGACAGGTGCTGCTGGTTCTCCAGCCTGTTCCTTGCTCTTCTTTTCCCATCAGAACTTTTTCTAACCAAGCAGCGATGTGCTCAGTGTAAACTGCCCATTTCCCCAGACTCCTTTGCAACTACTGGTGTCCATATGACTCAGTTCCAGCCAAGGAGATGGAAACAGAATTACTCTGGTAACAATTCCAAAAATACAGTGTGGTATGTATGCCTTATGCCTTTACCCTTGTTCTTTCTCCTCCTCCTCCTCCTCCTCCTCCTCCTCCTCCTCCTCCTCCTCCTCCTCCTCTTACTGTTATGATTAAGGTGTATAGTTGGGGTCCAAGTCCCTGCTGTCCCCAACAAAGAATTGAGCATACAGAAATAACATACATACAGAAATAACAGGCAAAGTACAGAGTTGTTGAAGGTGAAGGTGGAAGTAAGGTAGAGGGGAGTAGTGGGCCAAGCAAGAG